ATTCAAAGAAAAACAAGATACCACCTCTCATCCATGTGGTGCCTTGCAGGTCACCAAGCTCCTCACATCCCTGATCTCATCTGGACTCCACCACAAACCACATGTTGGCATTTTCATCCCTTTCCCCAGATGATGAAACTAAGGTTCAGAGAAGATTAAATGACTAACTCCAACTGAGTTAGGATTAAAATCTAGCTCTTTTGAGTCCAAGTACCTTTCCTAACATGTGTTAAGTGGAGATCAGCCCCAAAGGGGCAGAAAAAAGGGATAGAAAAGGTAGGCACGAGGTAAACTCATAGGATAAGAAAGAACTGTCTAGCAGGGGCAAAATGACTAGGGCTGCCATCCCTCGTAAGCAGCAGAGGAAGGATAAACACGTATTTGGGAAAGGATGGTTTTATAAGCAGGAGAAAAGAGGACAGTATGAATTATGATGACACAATTATGGATTTTTTTTGATAAGGAAAAGAATTTATCTGGAAAGCTTTGAAGAAACCATTGGCTCTCCATTTTACAGCTTAAAAATCCAGACCCTGACCAGCCTTTGGTCTCATACATTAAAGGGAGAGCCAGTCTGAAGGCCAGCCAGGACTTACTGTTATGCCTGTGTTAAAATACTGAAATGTCCTTCTCTGCTTTTAAACAGCTTTATTAGGGTATAATTCACATACCATAAAATTCACCCATAATAATTACTCAGCAATTTTCAGTAAATTTATACAGTTGGGTAACTATCACCATAATCAAGTTTTAGAACATTTCTATCACCCATCCCTCTAAAGTGGAATACTTTTCTAACATTTTGTAGACAGCCACTGCCCTCACACCCCGAAAAGTATCTCCCTTCTATGGCCTCAAAATCCCTCCAGAACTCGCCATGATCTAATTACAGATACCTGTCCCACGGGGCTGGGAGCGTCCAAGCCTTTGCTCCAGCACCAAGCAGCTTCAGTTCTGCAGGTTTGTTAAGTAAGTTTAGTATCACCCCTGGGAAGGATCAAGGCAAGCGATCAATTCTTCTGGTTCCCAACTTTCTGCTTTTCAGGAAGATTGGAAAATAACAAGTGAACAAAAAGAAAACAAGTGCTATGAAACAATGCCTACATAAAAGGCAGGCTTTGAAAGGGCAAGAGCTTGAGCTGATATCCATCAACACCTCTTCAGTAAGGGTGTTCTTACCTTGAGGTTTACAAACCTCTGCTGATGGATGGACTTCTGAGGGTCAGGTAATCCCCTGAAATACAAAATTTCATGAGTATAAGCATTTTTCCGTCCAGTAGGTCCATGGTTTTCATTTGGTTTTTAAAGGGGTTCACCCCAAAAAGGTCTAGGAGAGAAGTGAGCAAGGAATGTCCTCAAGGACTACAGACCCTGGTAAATAAATTCTTGCTAGACAGGTGCAGGGAAAGGCGAGAAAGTGAAGACACATTTCTCCCAATTCACAATCGTATTTACAAACCAGATACACATAAATCAGTTGTTTTTGTCATGTAAAATAAGTCACACAGAATAGGTCACACATATGTAAACCATTTGTTAATTTTCTTTGTCCCTTATTAGAAGATCCACGTGAAATGACTAGTTTGGGTTCAAAATTATAAAAAATAATGCACTTTTGATGCTTTTCTTAAAAGTATCACTCTAAATTGTGAATCTAGAGTCTGATACTTTTTTGAAATCTCATTTATAAGCTCAGTTGGATTTCAGTAGAATTTTAAAATTATTAAAGCACCCCAGTATTTCTACATAAATTACAATGAAGCCGAGCTTATTCTTTATTTGTTTACAAGTGATTTTTTAAACTCAAAATAGTACATCATTTCCATTGTATTTTATCTTGACTTTTAAATACAGTATTTCAGATAAATCATTTAGAAGTTTGATTCCCTCTGGTAAGTGCATGGAATTTGACGTCTGGGAGAAATCTTGAAGATTACGTAGTCTGATTTGCACATTTTATTAATAAGGATATAAACCCAGAGAGGTTAAGAGCCTTGACCAAGCTTGCTATTGACAGAGCTAGGACAAGAATACGAGCATTGGATTCCTGGCGAGGTGCTTTTTCCAACAGCCAATAAACAAGCTGTTGTTCTAAACTGCTTCTATTGCTCTGATGAGATCAGCCCGTGGGAACCTAAGAATAAACCACTCTGGGGAGACATAGACTCAAGCAAGGACTTGTCAACTTTGTCTCTTTATGCTCCAACAAGCATATTCCCATAGGACTGCTCCTAACTCACCAGGTTAGTGAATCACTAGACTTCAGGCATTCATAAATCACACGACAGTATCACTATTGCAGGATTTGCCCAGTGATTCCTTTGTGGGTCCTTCAAATAATTAGACTATTCGGTTTCCCATATTTCTCTCCCTTTTCTTCCAGAACATCCAGTGCTTTTAGTCTTCTGTGTCACAGGCTCTACATTTTCTTGGCAAGGAAGACCTCAGGCACATACACTCCTTGTGTATGTCTGAGTTTTTTTGTTTTTTTTTTCAAAGAGGTGGAGGTGGAGGTAGTTTGTGAGATAAGGGAGAATCATCTTCTTGAACCTGATGGTCATTTCTAACTGCTATGTAAATTAAAAAATGAATATCATTATCAAATGTAACAAAAACAATAATTATTTCTTAATATCATCTGATATCTATTTTGTTTAAATTTCTCCAGTTGTCTCCAAAATCTGTTTTTCACAGTGGTTTGTTTGAATCAAAATCCAAACAAGGTTAACATATTGCATTTGTTTAATATGTCTCTTAAGTATCTTTTATTGCAAATGATGCTATTAAAAAAAGATTCTTTAAGAGTAAGGGAAGCTTTACTGTTATGAATTGTTTTCCAGAAAGACTGTACTAATTTCACTTGTACAGAGTTTACGAAAGTTCTATTTTCTCTCCCATTTTTGGTATTGTCAGGTATTTTATCTTCTGACTATCTGATACTGAGCCCCACTCTGTAAAGAAATGAGATGTGAGCCTAGTCTTCACCGTACAATCGAGTGTTTTAGATAAAAAAGTTTCATATTTCCTGGAGATAGTTATATGCTCCCACCTCATCTGAAAGTCATGGTTTTAGCTCCTGAATACATCAGGATTTTTCTTTTGCATATTAATGAAAGAATGAAGAAAACAGCGAGGTAATAATGTACTATTTTACATTTCCTGGAAAGATAGGACTGGTAATGACCTTTCCCTCCTAGGAAGATCCTCTTTAATACATATAACACAAGGGATCAGATGTTGATTTTACTGTGAGGAGCATTAAGATTCCTGTAACCCCTTTTCTTCCTTATTAGTATTTGTCATGGCAGGTTGTTGACTCTGATGATGTCATAATGCTTCGTTTGTGGGGTCATCTAAACTTAAACCTTGGGAAGAATCAGCTTTCAAACAAAGTGAACCAAGATGGTAAAATCTGATCTTCTGGAGCAGTTTTCTCAGATCATAGGAATAAAGATCTCCAGAAGAAAATATATCTGTAAGAGCTTACCTCCTTCATTGATACGTGGGTTTTACTCAGCTGAAGTGTAGGCAACATAACTGGGCTAACACCTGAGATGCTTCTGGATCATCTTTGGTTGCTAAGAGCCTTCAAACATTCCTCAAGGACAGTTATTTTGCACTACAAAGGGAAAACCAGCCCATTTATGGCAACCAGGTGGACGTCTGAGAGGGAAAAAGTACACTGGTATAACTTCCTCTCCAGTGATGTAGAACAGGGTGTTTAATATCATAGAATAATTAGTGTATTTTAAGGATCTTTTGCCTTTTTTGAACACATTTTGCATTACGGAATTTCACAGAGAACATAATGATCCATCTCAAGAGTGGGAAGGATGATAGCTACACTGCTCTTATATTTAAACCTTATATAAAGTCCTAAAAAGAACTCCAAGTGAATCAAATGACAGATTTTAAGCTTTCATTCTGGTAAAGTAAAAGCCTTCTACTCAATGTATCAGCCACCTACATTTAAAAAAAAAAGAACAGGAGGTGCAAACCTTTGGCTTCCATTTTCCTGCTATAAACCAATAACATCTACAGTTCTGGAACAGATTTCAGAAATGTGGCTTCTGATAAATGCTGGCAGAATCAGTGCATTCCCAGAATAAATTCTGTGTACTTACCTCTTCCTACTCAAATACATCCTTAGGTGGAATGACCGACCACAAAACTGCCCACCAGGAAACAGGCTGAAGACCAGTCTGGATGTGACAGAAAGTATATATTAAAATGTGACACTGAGGGTCAAATCTCCAGCCAAATGTCAATGTCATAACATAGTGATACACCTGAAGGTTGAAAGTGAGGGGCTGGGGTAAAGTGGCAGAAACTGCACACAAACAAAATTTTAAACTTCAAGAGGTTCTCTTCCCTTTCAGGCAAATTTCAGCTCTAGAAATCTACCCTTGCATTTGAAATACCGAAGTGCTACTCTGCTCTCAATTCTCACCCCATTATACAAGGAAATGTGTCTCTCTTCCCCAAACTGGGAATGTGAGAAGCCTTTCAGGTCCGTAAAGACCAGAAAGCAGCCCCCTGCGAAGTTTTATCTTGCCCCTAAAGCTGTGAAAGCAGGTATGGTGATGTGGAAAAGACATCCCAAAGGAAAAACCTGTAAACCATATACCTGTGGCTGAAAAAAACAAAACAGAAACAAAAAAACAAAAACGAAACCCACGGGTCTGGACATCATGGGTATCTCCGGGTAAAAAAAAATACATAATATATACATTTTTTGTTTTATATATATAGTTACATATATATATAGTTATATATATACATATAGTTATATAGTTATATATATAACAACCGTGGCGGGGGCTCAGAACTAGAGCAGCGTTTCTTAAGCGATGAAGGTAGCCAGTGGGCTTGTGGTGGACGGCCGGAAGCTGGACGTGACCAAAGATACCGACAGCGCCATTCACCTCGGCCCCTCTCGCCCCCTCCCGCCCCTCCCACTCCGGGCGCCTAGAGCGCCAGCCAATCCCCTCCCGCCATCCCCTTCCCATCAGAGGCCCCGCCCCCCGCGCCCGGGATGCTGGGCCCCCGCGGCGTGACGCGAGCACGGCAGCTCCGCCCCCTGCGTCTCTGGCCTCGCCGGCCTTGGGGGGATGGTTCCATCATGGCGTCGATGCAGGTAAGAGGAGTTTGCAGCATCTGGGCGGGCTCCGGAGCCGCGGAGAGGATGCGGGCGTTTCCTTGGGGGCGGTGTCTGGGACTCTGGGGCACCCGGGCGGGCTCCAGAGTGGCCCCGGTGGCCGGTCCTTTCCCAGCCTCAGGGCGTTGGGGAGGGGTGAGAGGCGGGCGGGAGAAGGGGGGGGTCTCGGTCGGTCGAAGCGGACACCAGCCGGCCGGGAAGTTGGGGGATAAAGAAGGCTAAGGGGAGGACAGGGCGAAGTTTGGTGTTGGCTCAGCGGCAGTGGTCTCGGAATCACCTCCAGCTCACCCGGATGGCTGCCGCTGGCCTGCCCCCGGCTCCAGGGATGCCTTTCCTCCGCGGTCCCCGGCTGGGCGGAAACAGCTGCTCTCGCCGTTGTCGCTGGGGCAGGGGCAGCCGTGAGAGGGGCTGAGTGTGGGGGAGCTGGAAAGGCGTTCCCGAAGAAGGCGGCTGGCTGCAGAGGCGCTTCGCGGCCTCTGCTCAGGCCTCCCACGCCCGGCCTCCCTGGCGGCTTGGCCCCTTGGCTCTCCTTTTGACTCTTAGTCCTTTGCCCCATGGGTACCTTCCTCTATCAGCCTCCGCGCTCTCAGCGAACATAACATCCAGCAGCCCATTTTCTCACTCCCCCTGAAACTGCCCTTCGCCCATCAACATCATTTGTCGCCTAATATGCAGTCTCCCCGAGAGACAAGTTACCAGCCCCCTATACCTCCCGGGATAGCTCGTCCTCAAAAAATCTTTTTTTTTTCCTACGGTGCCCCACCCTGCGGTCGCGGTAAGGCTACAGCCCTTTACCCTCCTTTCCCAGACCTTTAGGAGAACCTTAGGTTGGTCGAAGGCGTTTATTAATCCGTGTTACAGCTACCTGACTTGACAATGCGTGGTTTTCTGGTTTTCCAACTTAATATACTCCTTTTTTCCCGGAATCCAAGGAGTTTGGTTTTTTTCCGGGCAAAGATGGCATCCACAATTGCAGTTTTCTAGAGATTAATTCTGCATTATCTATAGCTTGCATTTAATTTACAGATGAAGACTAGCTCTGTCAAAACACATAGGAAGAGAAGAAGGCAGAACTCCCTGAGCACTTTTTAGAGTTTTAACATCATCTTAAAGAAAGAGACCAGGTTTTTCTTAGAAGGGTTTTGTGCTTTTGTTTCTAGAAAAATAAGCAAATTTCTCTATCCTTCTGTGTTTTCCTCTTTTTAGGTGATAACAGTGCTTTTCTTTTCTCTCTTCTTTTTTCTGCATCTTCTTCCTCTTTTGTGTATGTACTTGCTTCACACATACTTCTGTGCTTTTGTGTCATCTGTCTTCTTTCAACCTGTTCTTCATACAATATTCTTTTTACCTTTGCTTCTCCCTCTGGACTTTCCTGCAGAATAGGGAAAAAAAAAGTTGTGTGTAACATTCCTCGGTGAAGAGATGTCATGAAATGGTCCAGAGAAAAAAGAAGAACAATTTCAGGAAACATTATACTGTACCCTCTTCTCCCCAGAGACGTTAGAAAAGTTTCGTCATTTGAGGCCAAAAAAGGAACTCTAGAACACCAGTTGAACAGTAGATCGGCTATATGACCAATTTAAGAATATTTGTATTAAGATTAAAACCATTCGTTTTAAGTGTAAAAAGATTAAAATCCACAATACTTGTGATTATATTTGACAGAATTATAGGGATAACCAATCAGCTGATTAAATGTAGACTTCAAGTGTTTGGAAAAGACAGATTTCAGTTTTTAAGAGAAAAAACTTAGTACAAAACTTAATTTTGACAGTTTTGAATTTACATGGGGACTTAAGCAATGGAACCAACACTTGCCAGTGGAATACTGCATTTTTCTGTGTCCCAATTACTACCCCTGACTTTTCACCCTTTATTCTGTTATGCCTTTTGATTAGAGGAATGGAAAACTCATGTTTCCTATTTTAATTATGTTTTAAGAAACTGTTCAGAGAGAATGGTGGGCTTGTGGTGATACTTAAAATTGACAGAAGTTAATAAAGAAATAGATCTACATTTAACTTTAATACTTCTAGAAATCTTAAAGTATTAAATGGAAAGTTTTTCATAGCAAATTTTTAGTTTTAGCATTTTAGGGACTTAGATTATTTGGTACAAACTTTCTATCTCCAAACTACAAAGCATTATGAAAGTGAATTTTTATGTGATTCAAAACATTTTTTTAAAAGTATAGCAATATTAGGGTATTCTGTTTTCAGCTAAACCATAAAATTGTGTTTTTTGTGTTATGTTTCTTTTTTCATTTTGTACCTAATCTTTTTTTTCTTTCCCTATTAGTATCTTTCGTATTATGAAATAATTAACTAATATTGCCTGCTGGATGGATATATTTTCTGATTTTAGAATTTATCTGTACCATTCAGATGTTTTTATGTTGGAAGTTTTTAAGTATACCTAGATACTTTTCTAACTACCTTTATGTTATGTCTTAAGATCTTAGAAATTCAGTGCGTAATAGTTGATATTTATCAATTCTAGAAACAGTAATATAATTGAGAGAAATGGTCAATTGAATTACTCTTGTGGATTTTCTGCATTTTCTTTCTCTCTCTTGCCTAATTGGGTCTTAAACTATTGACTCTTAATTTGGTTAGTTGAAAGGAGATTGAGATTTACTAATAGGCGGTGGATGAAGGTGTGCTTACTTTGAGATGGCTTAGAAATAAAAAATGATTTTGGATTATACACAGTTCTGCATTGCTCTTTACTCAAATAATTGGGCTGTAGTGATTGAGAGAGGTAGACTATACGCTCTTACTGACGTTCTTATTGCAGTCATGTTGTCTTGACAATTAAATTCCATATGACTATTCGTTGATGTCATGAAGGGTTAACAACATAATCAAAATTAGAAGATTGACTGTCATCTTGGATCCTGAGGCTCACTCATCCCTGGGGACTTGGGGGGTATAGTTAGGATTGTAGAGTAGGTTGGCTGGATACCGTGGCGAGGAATGGCACTGTCAGGGAGCTGTTGGAGCAAGTGTGGAAGGAAAAGTGGAACACTGTAGAACAGAATTGAAGGTGTTCTGTGTGAATGACAGTCATAAGTAGATAGTAGACTACATTGTGAACAAAAGCATAAAGATGAGGTCATCATCTTCTCTTAATTCTCAAAGCAGTCATTGTGGTATTTTTCTTTTTGCTGTTAATCAATTACTTCTTTATAAGGTGCCTTCTATTTTTGTCCTAATGTGTTGGTTTGGGTCTTTTATTTAGCTTTTCAGGTCTCTTCCACTCCCCTGGGCCATAGATTTCCATGAGAATAGGAAAAAAAGTTCTTTCTTTCTGTCTCTTAAATGCACTACAGTAGATGTTTGTCCATCACTTGACACTTCAAAAAGCATTCCTACATATCAAATTCTGCATTACTTTAATTCTATTTTGGAAAAGTCTATTTAGGAGTTCTGTTATAGTAAGGTTGAGTACCTATAAAGGAATAATTTAAAATTCCTATTTATATTACATGTATATTCCCCCCAAAATTGTCTTATTTGCTTGATTTATGTGTTTGCCATAACTTTAATGTTTTTCAAAGTATTTTCATTTTCTTTCTTTCTGGATTCTTATTCCAACCTTGTAAAATGGGAAGTCAGATAATCCTATTTCATTCTAATAGAGACAGTGATTACTTGTTTGGAAAGTGACTTACCCAAAGCTACATAGCGACTAAGTAGTGAAGCTGCAGTTAGAAACCAAGCTGTGAAATCTACTGATGCTATGAAGTTGTAGGAAAAGAACATATTAAAAGTTTTGGATTGTAGAGAAATCATTGGGGCAATTACTTTTCAGTCAAGAATTAAACATTTACTAAAATGTTTTATAGCTTCTATAGCTAAAAAAATGAGAGGAAAATATTCCTTATATGTTATAAAGTTACTTTATCAAAATTTACATAAAGGTTCTTTATGCATATACTCATGCACTGAGTAAAATTATAATGGCAAATACTTACTGTTCAAAGATAATCTTTATTATTAAGGAGAGTTTTAGAAGGTGTGATCTGGCATTTTTCTGAAAATATGCTTCTGGATAGGATTTATCTAAATTGAGGATTTGTTAGATGAATTTTATTGCATCTTTATATCCCTATTGTCTGCTTCATTATTAATCTAAATACTACTTGTTCATGTTTGTCAGATATTTAAAAATTTCATGTGATAGCCCTTATTTGTGAATGTAGTTTTTGGATTACTAACAAATGGTGCATACCTTTGAGTTACTTTACTCTGAGAAAAACTGTAATCTTATTCAGTTGTTTTTATAAAACTTCATTTAAAAAAGTGCCCAGCATCTGGAATCAGAAGACCTGGATTCAGGTTTTGTTTCACTACTTAACAGCTGTGTTGCTCAAAAATCAGTGTGTAGTGTAGTGGTTAAGACAAAAGCAGATTAACAAAGGTAAACATTTATGAAACTGCTTTTTTGATCTCCCTTTCCCAAACCTGTTCTTTTTGTAGTATTCCCCATGTGGTACATGACAAATTCATTCTTCATTTGTTCAGCCAGAAACCTTGGTTTCATCCCACCCCAAAGTCAAACCATCAGCAAGTTCTTTCCGGCTCTGCCTTCAAAATAAATCCAGAATCCAGCTGTGCAGTCTTCTGCATCGTTGCCTGATGTAAAGCATCATCGTCTGTCATCTGCGTTATATCAGCAGCTTCATAACTGGTTTTCCTGCTTCTGCCCTTATTTCTTGATGGTCTTTTCTCATTATTTAGATTCTTTCAAAACAAAAGTCAGATGTCACTTCACTTGCATTCTTACTGTGGCTTCCCTGTTCTACTCAGAATGTAACTCAAAATCCGTGTTAATGGCCTGGAAGGCTTTACATAATCTATCTTGTTCAACACCCTTTACCCCACCCTCCTCACTTCTCTACAGCCCTGTGGGCCTTCTTGATATTTCTGCCTCAGTCTTTGCCTGTGTTATTTCTTCTGCTTTCAGGGCTCTTCTCC